GCGCTGTCGTCAAAGTGTTTAGTACACACATGAGAATAAAATATGTCAAACAGCACTACGAAAGGGCTTACCGTAGGTATGAGAATGCAAAAAAAAAAAATAAAAAAGAAAGAAAGAAAGCTCTTGTCTCACATTTCAGTTCAAACAAGCCCATAGGCTGATGAGGAAAAGGTAAAGTCAGCGAAATAGGGGTGACCAAGTGATAATGGAGGGAGGATCGTACAACGAGAAGGGTAAAATTAAACGGGAAAATTTCGGATGACCCCGTTCATGTAGCAAAGGGACCCTGTTCTGCGTGCAAAAGCGTGTGGCGCCAAAGTGGTAATGACTACACGGCGGAAAAGAACGCTTAGATTCTGTCCTTTACAAATACTAACCCCTTCCCCCACCCTACAGAGCTAAGAACATCAAGTATGTAAGAATGTGCAAAATGTGTAAGAACAGGACGAATATTCAAATATTTTTCAACTATAATACCCTATAGTACCCTCCGACAAGGTGAATGAAAAAAAAACCTACAAATACTCAAAAGAAATGCACAAAAATGCAATTGCAAAAAAAAACTATTCAACTGTTTAAACACAGAGTGCCAATTTTTTGAGCGCCTAATCGAAAGCGTTCAGTTTCGCCAAATAGCTACTTTGGGAACAAATATGAGCACGGACGAGACTGCCCAGTCGTCTTTTCCATAGGAAACATTCATAAAGTTGAAAATTCATATGCTACTAACCTTGAAAATGCCAAAGCAGTCGGGTGTCGGACAACGTGACAACGACCTGTCTCTTCGCAATACATAGTCAATGGAACTGTCTACCAGAGCATGCAATTTCTTTGCATTTAACCATGGTAACCGATTATCGCCAAGAAGCAAACACTGAACATGAAGAAAATTCCGAGATCATGAAATTTGTAGGTGTTGATATCCGATCTTGTATCATCAGCAACAACACAGACTCATAAGGCTTTGATGGATTGCTTATCTGATAAAGATGGAATACAAGACAGACAGAGCTCCAAAAATTCCTAATTTGAATATCCCAAAAGGCCAAAGCAATGCAAAACTTCGCCCAAGAAAAAAGAAAGACTAAATTCAAAGAGAAAAAGGGGAAATTTTCAAACCTTCAAGTCAGTTATTGAGAACAATTGTCCGCAATCCATATGATAACATCGCAATGGTAAATCACGATTTCTTATCAGCGTTTTGACCTTAACAGCTCCTTGAGAATTTATTTCAAGAAGTAAGATTCAGTTCATGAAGACACCACATATCATAGTCGATCAGGACGCCTAGAATATCCCAAATTCTCGTACCTGGTAAATGATACATTTCAAACAGTAGTAGTGGCCGCAATCCAGGCAATAAAATGCATTGCTGACAGGTGACAAGCATATAGGACAGTCTGGCTTCAATGACGTATTGATCTTCGAGCTTGATGTTACCAACTGCAATACAAAAAATGAGGCAGACATTAACACAATTCGCCACGAAAGTCTTTATTGCTCGGTAAGAAAGGACCAAACAAGAAGTGAAATCGAAAAGTACGCAACGTAAACCATCACAACCTGAATGATTCGGAGATAAAAAGCACTGTACGCCTTGGAGTTTGCCAGAAATCCTGCGGCTCAGCGTATTCCCCGCAAAAATCTTTTGGCAGTCTTTCTGACCCATGCCTCGACCTGGGATCATCTTACGAGCTTACCACGACTTACCTAGCTTACCACGGCTGGCATTATGTGAGCCAGCATTGTGCTTCGGTTTATGATTTACTATTCAAGAGGAGAATTAAAAGAAGAAAA